TGTGTTGGAAAAATAGATATGATCGTCTAATTTTTTTCGTGTCTTGTCCTGGCCTATTAACAGGTACCCAAATCATATTTTTAGTGATTTCTCAATTTGAATAAAGTAAAAAATACCGAGGGTGTCATTTAAAAATCAAAAGTTGTAGTCATTTCCGGTGAAATAGGAAGTGACCGAAAACAATTGAATAGGTCAATCAGTCCTGATTTATGTCCTGTACTGACGTACCAAATCTCGTTGTTTTTTCTGCAAAAATAACAAAATTATAACGGTGAGCCAATTTTAAAAGAGACCTGGTAGAGGGAGTTCTATAATTTTTTGTACGCTTTGCGTATGTATATTATTAGGCCATTTCTAGGTGTAATTTCTTTTTAAAGTATTTTCCAATTTTTAACACTTTCTGTATAATTCTACTGTTACTACTGCCCTTGTAAACTACTGTCTGTCATACTAACTTATGAAAGGTTATGTTTTCATTTCTGTTGCAAATGCAAATTCCACATATCGTGCCTTTTACATGTTTTTTTTTTTTTATTTAGTAATTCTTTTTAAAACATCCAAGCACTCAAAAAAAGTAAATAAACAAATGTGGTATTGTCATATTGACGTTTGATGGTCGAAAACTGTCATATGATTTTACAATTTTGAGTTAGTTTATTATTGATTATATAGTCTGTCCAATGAGAAGATCCTTGACAGTGATAGATGTGTCTGTCATTTTAATTTCAAAGTAGTTTATTTTATTTTACAAAGAAATAAGTTGGTACAACTGGAAAGCATAGCAGGAAATTATTATATTTAAAATTTGACTGACAAGTGATTACTTCAAAATATTGTGGAAAAAACTGTATAAAACTGAAAAAATGTAATCGAGTTATTTAATTTAATAAAAAACGGTATGTGTTAATACAAAACAAACAAGAACAAGACACCACATACCAAAAAATATAAAAAGAACTATTTCTCACTTTCAAGCTTTATGAAGCTTCCCGCATTTATGATTATATTTATCAATATAACTTATGTACAAATAAAAATTTGTAATATTCCGCAGGAATAAATAAAACAACATAAATAAAACAAACTATTTTATTATTAATAACACTTATCAAATTTTATGGGTACCTTAAAGATTGATTAATTAACTTTAATCTTAATTTTTTAAACCAGTACCTTTGGCATTATTTTTCTTGTGCAGTACTAAAATCCATTATTTACGTATCGTGTGATGTCGATATTTTACAGCTACTCCAGTTTTTAGTATGTGTTTAGTATGGTCCTTCTACCATATTCGAGATGCACTTATCTACGACGAGATGGTATACGAACTTTAATTATAGTAACTTTATTGGTGTATAAGACTTTTTGCCTGGGCAGCGAGTATTAACCATAAACTGTGCTCTGGGTCTGGGTCTACAGTTAATTTTCACTCGATTTTTCCTTCACTTGACTTCAAAAGACACAAAACACACGTCATAACACGAATCAAAATGCATCATCTTCAAAAATGCAGGGTATTTGACAAAACTGACAAAAGTTGACACAAAATTATAACCTCTAATTTGGCAAGACTTTGACAAACGTCAAAACTAAAGGCGAGTTCATACGCATCGGCGTCCGTTTGTCGTTCATCGTTCCGTCAAACCAATAAAATTGAAATACGATCTGTCATTTTTGAAATAAACCAATAAAACTGGTTAAAAACAACAAGAGACGACGCATGACGGATTTATATTTAAACCCATCCATAGTTAACTTAAAAATTATTAGAAACTTTTTTTAGTAAAATAAATAGATTGGTATGGGACGTCATCTGCTTTTTTTCTGTCATCGTCTGTCGAAATCTTACCTGAGAAAAAAAACAGAGTATACACAAACAAATAAATAAGATAAACTCACCGGCAAAAAAAACCGGCCACTAAAAACTAGTCCCAATTTCAAAGTTGGATTTCTTGCGAACCACTCATTAGATTTTGATGATTTTCTTTTTATAGTATAAATTAATTCCTTCTTAATGGATGCTACGTCAGAAATTTTTATTCCGAATTTATTTTGAACATATACAGGGCACAACAATCAGACGAAGTTTTTTGCCCGAACTTTGTAACACCCTGTAGGGTGCAGCAGCTGTAGTAGCTATTACTAAATCAAATCAGATTGTAGCCTTATCTTTTGTGAGCATTTTGTTTTTTTTAATCACGACATTATCTCTCTTTTTAGTAGAGATACGCTGCTTTAAAACGAACGTCTCGGAAAAATGCTTCGCAGGCAGAAAGTTTTATGTTCAAGGCGACATAGACGAAAACGGATTTATGAGTATTTGCAATATGACAACAACGGTTGTCAAATTAAAAAATGCCATTATCTGTGACGGATGTTGCTCGCATTTTGGCTTTAATTGAGGATGGCCGAAGTCAACGTAATGTGTCCGATACCCTGGGCATAGTGGGTATACCTCGAACAACAGTCCAGGATCCCTGGAATCGGTATATGGAAACAAAAAATTTCACCAGGCGAGTGGGTTCCGGAAGAAAACGGAAGACAAATGCAATTGACGACCGCTTTATTGTCCTGAATACTTTAAGAAATCGTAGAATTACAGCGTTTCAGAATCAACATCTGCCACAAGCCGTGCGTAGAACTCAAGTCAGTGAGAGAACAATCCAACGAAGACAAACAGAAAACAGCTTGTCTGCAAGGAGGCCTGTCACAGGACCCCAGCTATTTCCAAGACATCGTCGAGCACGTCTTCAGTTTGCGCGTTTACATGTGAATTGGTTTGGTCGCGGTTTTGCCTGCAAAGCAGTTTTCCAAGACGTTCGTTTTAAAGCAGCGTATCTCCAATATGAACAGAGATAATGTCGTGATTAAAAAAACAAAATGCTCACAAAAGATGAGGCTACAATGTGATTTGATTTAGCAATAGCTACTACCGCTGCTGCATCCTACCGGGTGTCACAAATTTCGAGCAAAAAACTTCGTCTTATTGTTGTGCCCGGTATATGCTCAAAATAAATTAGCAATAAAAATTTCTGCCGTAGCATCCCTTAAGAAGGAATTAATTTACAATTTAAAAATAATCATCAAAATCTAATGAGTGGTTTGCGAGAAATCCAACTCTGAAATTGGGACTAGTTTTTAGTGGCCGGTATTTTTTGCCGGTGAGTGTATATCAATAATTTTCTAATTAAATAAGAATAAATATGTAGCAAAAAATATTCAAAATTTAATGAAATATGATGGCCATTATGTAATCGCAAAACAATTTCCGATGCACGTGATCAACTTTGAGTGACAAGCGATGGCGACAGCGCTGCCAGATTGTGATGGATTTATGAGATGAATCTTAATTTAAAAGTGACAAACAATATATTTATTATATAATTTTTAGATCTTCACGTTTTATTTTTAATTTAATAACTAATATTTTAGTAATTAATTGATTTATTTGTTTTACAGCCTATTTTACTTATTATATATTGGCAAAAACTAGTCCATTATGAAGATTATTCTAAGCGTTATTATGGGGTTATTTATTTATTGATCTACATCTTCCAACGCCTAAGTGGTGATAAACATTAGTAAACTAATCACAAAAGTTAATAAAAACTAACGTAGAAATAGCTTTGAAAGTGATGTAATGTGCTTATCAATCAAACTACTTCTTTGACTGCAGTCAAGGGTAATAAAGGACTTTTATTGTCACGTTCTTGTTAAAAATAGTTGATCAGCGAAGCTTCAAGCCGTTTGCTTTGACTGTTTAAATGCTTCGGCATATTTTCAACATACAATTTCAAGAAATGCAATATAAAAACTCGAAAATATAGTTCTTAAAAGAACTGTTTGTGCTTTTAAAGTACAATTTAAAAAAAACTATGAAAATAGGCAAAAAACGAGAATTACTCACAAAGATTCAACAACAACACGTTATTATACAAAATTATGACTGACATTAGGATAATTGTCAAATAATAAGTGACAACCTTGCTGAAAATGGCACAATGTGGCCAACATAGCGATAATAAAATTCGGTTTAAACTAATTTTTGCAGCTTTAATCTAAATAAAATATCCGTTAGAATCATTTGCTCTATCAAATCAAATGAAGAGCTGCTTGGCATCTTAAATTATACAACAAATTTAAACATTTTTGCCAAAATTTCATTTAGTCAGGTTCATAGACTTTAGTGTCAATATTGATATGATTGATGACGTGCATCGGAAAATGTTTTGCGATTACAATACTTATAGATTAAGTGTTAAGTTTCATTAAAATCTACGGATTCAAGACATCAAAATTAGTGGAATAAATTAGTGTTTCAGCAGATGTTTGTTCCTCTAATTTCAATGCAAGCATACAAAACGTCAATATTAATGGTAGTAGTTTACTTTTCAGTTAGTAGAAAAGTTTAAACTTTTAACTTTTTTCACTGATTATACTTCAAAATTTGCTAGTAATATCATTTTGGCCTTTGATTATCATCCATCAAGAAAAAATGTAGTTATTATTTATTAGAAAAACGGTTGATTGTTTCTTAAGCTAATTACTGCCTTTCTCTATGGATAAAACTGACTATCGCAATCTGTTTCTAGGATATTCTATTAATTTTAATTGTGTTTTTATAAATTGCGAATTATCGTAAACTCTTAATTATAAAGTATAATTGATACCACTAATGTCGAGGTTCTAAATGAAGCTTTAGAATACGCTTTAGCTAAACTTTGCACTTTGACCATTATTCCAGTATTCAGTTATGAATATGTAATATATTATTATTATTGTTATATACGATCTTCATTAATAATATTTTTTCATAAATAAGTGTCAATCTAGGTAATATGTTTCTGTTTACGTCCGATTTGTATATCTTTTGTACCTTTGTTTTGTATAAAAAGAATTGTCTGTATATTGTGTCTGAACGTATATAAATATATCATTTGTCTGAGTTGCAGATTCTACATATCTAGAGATTACTAACTTTAACAAAATTTTTGTTTCAGAATTTTTCTATTTGGTACATGGATTCTATATTAGTGCCCCACAGTCTACACAAAGGATATAAAGGAATCTGCTTTATTAAGAGATTTACTTCGTTCATTCTAAAAGTAATCACATTCGTCGACGTTTATCACATTGAAAGTCCAGGAAATGGCTCTTGATTTCTTTGCTGGATGTGTTGGAGGTAAATATCAATAGAGTCAAATAATGTTGTTAATGTTGCTTTTGAACTGAGCACGGCAGCGTTGCTAATAGTGAAAAATATTTCTCAATTTAAAGCATTTTCGTAACAATACATTTTTTTTTTTAATTTTAAATAATCTACGAGGCTCTAAGGTACAGCTTGATAGTATTGTATTTTTAAAATAAACATTGTTTGGTTTAGGTTGTGCTGGCGTTATCGTTGGCCATCCCTTGGACACGGTAAAAGTTTCTCTCCAAACACAAGATGTGAAAAATCCGAAATATAAAAGCACATTCCACTGTCTTCAGACTATATTTGTAAAAGATGGAATTAGAGGAATATATCGAGGAATGTCGAGCCCATTACTAGGTTAGTATGTCATTATATTCTGCATTACTTTCCTGTACACTGTACAGGGTGAGTCAACGATAGAGTAAAGTCCATTATCTCATTTGTTTCGAGGTTTACAAAAAAAAATTAAATATAAAAGTTATAGGGAAGGTTAAGATACACATTTTAAAATTATTATAGAGTATACAAGGTGCTTCAAAAAAGTTTGGCGGATATAACATATGTTTTTTTAAATGCAACACCCTAATTTTTATTTCATTTTTAGATTCTGCGTAAAAGTCCATAACTTTTTTATATATAATGTTATATACCTAAAATTACTCGTTTTTGTAATATTTCAATTTGTTTAAATAAATGTTAAATTGCAGTGTGGTAAAAAATTGTCAGTGGTGCCATTGTTTCTGAAGTTGGAGAACCAAAATTTGGTAGGCGAGTTTTATAGAGATGAAAAAAAGATATATGTAAAGATATTTTAGTTAAATGATACAGGGTGTTCAAAATATATTTATGAATTTCAACTATTTAAAATTAAAAAATCTCAAATTTTTTAAATGGTACACCCTATACATTATCATTTTTTCTGTTAGATTTTACAAAACTCTTCAACTTTTATTAAGTATGTCATATACCTATTTTTAATAGTTTGTGATTTATTCCAATTTTTTCTATTCCTACCCATATTTTTAATACATTTACGCTATAAAATCATAGTTGCCATGACAAAACAATACTATTTATTACTTATCTTTAACAAGTAGCTTAATAATTAGTTGCAATTGCTGGTATTAGTTAAGATTAATTCACTTTACTCAAATAAACTAAAATCGCGGTCCTGAATTTCTTGGTGTATTTCTATATTATGAAAGATGACACTTGGATTTTCCGTCGGGGCGAATAGCTACAGATTAGAGTAATACTACATTATCTATTTGTTGAAGACTACTGATATAGGAATTTTCTTCGACATATAGTAAAGTTTTTTCTCGTAGTAATTCTGGTTTATAATTCATTTCGTAAAGCCAATATTACTACTGCCGTGAAACCGCCCCATTACACACTGAATATGATAATCTACATCTATTCTTATAGTACTTAGCAAAGTACTATATAATATATAGTAATGAACCAAAAAATATGTTTTTCTTGGCTTGTTCGTGTATATCAATCACAGTGACTAATTCATTTCAGGAAAATCTGTAACTATTATCTGTACCATTTATACTTATTACAAGAAACTAAACGAAAATTCAAATTTTGTTCTTAACTTGCTTAACAGACATGAAATTTTGATAATTATTACTTTTTGTCATGGTAACTATGATGTTATAGCGTAATTGTATTAAAAATATGGGTAAAAATAGAAAAAATTGGGATAAATCGCAAACTATTAAAAATAGGTATATGACATACTTCATAAAAGTTGAAGAGTTTTGTAAAATCTATCAGAAAAAATGATAATATATAGGGTGTACCATTTAAAAAATTTGAAATTTCTTAATTTTAAGTAGTTTAAATTCATAAATATATTTTGAACACCCTGTAACATCTAACTAAATATCTTTTCATAGGTCTTTTTCTATATGTCTATAAAATTCTCCAACCAAATTTTAGTTTTCCAATTTCAGAAACAATGACATCACTGACAATTTTTTATCACACTGCAATTTAACATTTGTTTAAACAAATTTAAATATTACAAAAACTATTAATTTTAGGTATATAACATTATATATAAAAAAGTTATGAAATTTGACGCAGAATCTAAAAATAATATAAAAAATAGGGTATTGTATCTAAAAAAACATATGTTATATTCGCCACACTTTTTTGAAGCACCCTGTATATTCTATAATAATTTTAAAATGTGTATCTTAACCGTCCCTATAACTATTATATTTAATATTTTTTTGTAAACCTAGAAACAAATGAGATAATGGACTTTACTCTATCGTTGACTCACCCTGTACAGCGTATCCCGAATACGAGCCTCATCATTGGGATCTCAGAAACTGGAAGAGATACGAAGTAAGTGAAATGGAGGCAATCAAATCAAAAGAGGCAATAAAAAAAAGGCTGATCAAATTGTCAATAAAATCAATCCACCTTAAAAGTTTAAAAATTAAAGAAAAGAATATTCGCGATTTCATTTTTACTTCCTCACTCTATTTAAATATCTATTGCTACTTTTTTTGTTCTACAATATGGTGTTATCAGATTTTCAAAAGGGCGTTTCATTTTTAAGCGGCTTTTATTACTTTTATTACTATTAAGGATTTTAAGATTTTTTAATACCCCAAAACCAATTATATATCGCATTTATCGAATAAAAAGTATTTAAAAAAAATTGATGATGGCAGCTCAAAGAGAAAACGTCGGTTTGAAAAAAAAAATATCTGATAAAACCATTTTGTGGAACAAAAAAAGTAACAATGGGAATGTAAAAAAAAATGATTTAGTTATATTTATTCAAATAGAGACAAAATAAATAAAATCGCGAATATTCTTTTTTTTTCATAATTATAATCTTTGGTTGCCTTTTTGGGTGGAATTTTGATCAGTATCAAATTGCGCAACTTTGCTTCTATTTAACCGACCTCATATCTCTTCTACGCTTTGTTTCTACATCCTTGGAAACTTGGCGCTGCGTGTTGTTCATTTTCAGCTATTACTAAGACGATGTTTGTCTTTTTTTATTCATGCACATTAGACAAGGAAGCACAATCTTTTTCCGTAATGATTATCATCACAATATCAAAAATACAAAATAATCGTCTGATCTGGGAAATAGAATTCACTTATTTTTACGATGAAAAATGTCCGTTTCATTGATAAACATGGACAAGAAAGAGAGTGGAAAGTGGCAATTTGTCTCGAAACAGCCAAGGGCCGGCAAACAGACCGTAGTTTCCGAGGTCTTGATAATGAGAGTGAAATTTGAGACACCCTGTAAATAGAAATATACTTAAAATTTGTTTACTGCAAACTAAACGGCAATTCTAAAGAACAATATTAAATAACTACGTAAAAATAATGAATATCTAGTTTTGACTAGTTTATTACTTATAGATTATTATTACTTATAGATTCTATGAGGTTGAATTTTTTTCTAAAATTTTGAACAGTGGTTTCATGGTAATTAGGTGTATTAATTATAATATTTTAATAATAATAATTGTTAATAATACGCCAATTTCAATAGTCCAACTGCTTCCAAAAAATTAGTTTTTTTTTAAATATTTGAAATTAAGAATACATAAATTACTAAGTCCTAATATAAAATCAAATACAAATACTTTAAATAGGTAATGTTTTCATCTAGGTGTTGCTGGCATTAATGCAATAGTCTTTGGCATTTACGGCAATACACAAAGATGTATGAAAGACCCAGATTCGCTGACAACCCACATGATAGCAGGTGGAATAGCTGGGTTTGTTCAAAGTTTTATTTGCAGTCCTATGGAATTGGCAAAATCTAGATTGCAGGTAAAGTTAACATTTATAAATTCAAAAAGGGTCAATATTATGTAATAAATAAAAAAAATAAAGAAGTCAAAGTCTGATTTATACCGGGTGTTTTTAAAAAGTGGTTTACTCCCTCTACTTCAGATACATTATTTATTGACGTATTCAATTATTTTCGGTTCAGCACGATAAAATTAATCACTTCCTATTTCACCGGAAATTATTACAACTTCAGATTTTTAAATGTTACTCTCGGTATTTTTATTTGATAGAAAATGACATTCTGAATAGAATGAGATATCATATGTCAACTTTTGACATTTTAGCTTATCAAATATGTAATTATAGTATTTAAATTATCAATCTAGAGTGCAACGGTTTTGTTCATAACAACAGTTTGACTTGAAATATCAAGTACGTGATACGAAATGATTGGTCAAAATAATTTTTTGAAATATGGTAATGAGGCACTCTTGTTCCATTTGAAAAGTTGAGTTATGATTTCAAATACGATTCGGGCATCTTAACAGACCAGGAATAGTCACGAAAAACACTAGATAGGCTCTTTGATTTGAAGAATTAGTGGTTGTAAAGCTTCATTCTCGCAATTAGTGGAATAAATTAGTGGTTTCAATTACACTTTATACTTTCTAGTTTACAATAATTCTCAATGTCTAAAAAACACAACTAAAACTAATAGAACATCCCAGGAACAGCTTTGCCGTAGTCAGTCGTATCCATAGAGAAAGTCAAATATTTAGCTTATAAAACAATAAACTTTTGATTTCTAACCACAATTTCTCTTGACGGATGATAATCAGAGGTGCTTGCATTGCTTCCGTTACCGTTCCGTTCCAGGATTTTCTAGATCTACCTCTCTTTCTTCTGCCCTGGGGAGCCCATTGAAAAACTTTTTTTGGCCACCTGTACCTCGGCATACGCAGAACATGTTCAAACCATTTTAAGCTGGATTTTTCGATTCGATCTAGTACTGTTTCCTCCGATGCCTTCATGATACGCCTGACCTCGATGTTTGTCTTTTTTCCATCCTAAATATACCTGCACGGTACCACACAAATGGTCTACCTTCTTCTAAGGTAGATTATTTCAACAACTTGAATTTTGCGCTTCGCGTCTGCACTCAGAGTCCATAGCTCTGAATCATAACAAAGAACTGACTCCACCAATGTTTTTCCAAGTCTCTTTTTAGTTGTTGCAGACAAGTTTAGGTCCCACCAGAGGCTATTAAGACATCCAATAATTTGTTTGCTCTTCTGAATTCGGGTTTGTATTTAAGAATACATTTTAGAAAAATGGATAAGCTCCAAGAAAATCATAACACTGGGATACCAATGGAATCAATGAATACAGTACAATATAACTTTAACAGCTTTAATGATGACAGTACTGTGTTTTTGTATCAAAGACGACTCGATAGTAAGCTCTTGGATCCTGAGAAATGCACATTTAATGAAATCTACGAGAACATTAAAAGTAGTCTAATTGCCGCTACCAAAGAGGCAATAGGAACAAAAGAATACTCTACCAACAAGAAATACTGGTGGAACGATGAGATGGAGTCTTATGTCCAAGAAAAAAAACAAAAATATCTGAAATGGCTATCTACTAAAACAGAACGCGATCTTGAAGAATACAAGAATTCAAAAAGGCAACTAAGGACACATATTAACAGAGCTAAGAACAAAGCATGGGATATAAAGTGTGAGCAAATTAATAACTACATAGGTGGAAGAAAATGCTCAGAAATATGGAAATTTATTTCAAATGGTAAGAACCCAGGAAAAAACAAGGCTAATATACACTTAATTAAACCTGAACAATGGTTCGAACATTATAGGGGCCTCCTTCAGGAATCTAGACAAGAGTACTTAATTGATTCACCAAGAAACATCGACGTACAGGGAGAAGTAGTTGAAATATCGGAAGAAACAATAAGAATGGCTGCCAAGAACTTAAAATCAGGCAAAGCAAGCGGCCCAGAAGGAATATACTCCGAAATGTTGAAAAATGGTACGCAGAAACTATTTAGAAGCTTGGCATTAATTTTCAATATTTGCTTAAACGGACATCCCGTTCCAGAAGACTGGAAGCTGGCTTATATATCTTCGATCTATAAAAAAGGCAATAAGCTGGACTGCAGTAACTACAGTGGTATATCAGTGACGAGCACAATGAGCAGGTTATATGGTAGAATTTTACGTGATCTCATAGAAGATTATAGAGAAAAGGAGGAAGAAGAACAGAATGGTTTTAGAGCAGGAAGGTCGTGTACAGATAACGTGTTTTGTTTAAAACAAGTTATAGAAAAAAAATCGGCAAGAAACTTGGACACACATATAACATTTGTTGACTTACGGAAAGCGTACGACACTGTCCCAATATCAAGACTATGGAGGGTACTAGAACAATCTACGATCAACCATACTTATATAACAGCTCTTAAGGAACTCTATAAGGACGCAAAATCAAAAATAAAGGTAGGAAAAGAGCTTACAGAAACATTTATAACCGACAAAGGCTTGCGTCAAGGTTGTTGCATCTCCCCTACTCTCTTTAAAATATACGTTGCAGTCGCTTTAAAAATTGGAAAAGAAAAATCCGTGGTATAAGCATAGAGACTTGCCTTTAGCTGTGTATTTTTTCTAATTTCGAAAAATCGAAAGTAGAGAAAAAATTAAAAAAAAAAATAAAAAGTAAAAAGAAAATTGTTTTCCTTGTCGTAAAGGGGGGAACCAAGCTCCACTCCCACAACCGGTTTCTGGGCCTACCCTTCATCAGGTGGGCTGACCAGCGGCTGGTTCTCACCGATACGGCAAGCAAAACTTCTTCTATATCAACAGACGATGTCGTAAAGTGTCGGTGAGATATTAGTGCATCTCCCGTCAAAAGATGGTAAAGAGCGTTTTTCGGCCCGCTCAAATATATGAAATGAACAAAATTCTTACAGCTTTAGTGTATATTTATTATTATCAACGCGAAAAAAATAATCGGATGTCTATATGGAATCTTATGGAGCAAATCAATAACAAAGCGAAGAAAATTCAATATATATGAAACCATGATAAAGAGCAACCTCCTGTATGGAACAGAAACATGGAGAATAACTGAGAGATACAAGAAGAGGATAGAGGCCGTAGAAATGTCATTCGAAGATCAATGGGAATTTCAAGACAACAACGAATAAGAAATAATACTATAAAACAACAAATGGGTATAGAAGGTACGATAACACAGGATATAGAGAAAAAGCAGCTGATCTGGTACGGACATGTAGAGCGAATGAAGGACACTAGATGGCCCAAGAAAATAATCAATTGACAACCAAAGGGCAGAAGAAAACAGGGAAGACCAAAACTGGAATGGCAAAAAAGCGTACACAAAGCGATGAGTGAAAGAAACCTGTCAAGAGAGGATTGTACGAATAGAACAGGCTGGAAATTGGGTATCGGACAACGTAGAAAAACGTTCTAAACCGACTAATAATATTTCTTCTTTGTCCAAACCCTCGTTGTTGATAGTAGCACCCAGGTATTTAATTTTGTCTACTTGTTGAATCTGGACGTTATCATTAATAAAGACTTCAAAACAACTTAATTACTCAAAAAACCCTAAACACGCCTCGGAATTCTACGCTAATTGTAACCATTAATTTATTCAACTAATTGCGATGTTCTAAATAAAGCTTAATACAGAACACATCCATTCTAGATTTAAATTATTTAAAACACAATTTTTTATAAACTCAAATGTCAAACAGAACATATGTCAAAAGTTGATACACGATATGGCATTCTATTCAGAACGTCATCTTCTGTGAATAAAGTAAACAAAAATACCGAGAGTACCATTTAAAAATGAAAAACTTGTATCTAGTGATTTCCGTTGAAACAGGGAGCGACAGAAACTAATTGAATACGTCAATCAATCCTCATCTGAAAAAATTAAAAATTATAGGCGTAAACAACTTTTAAAAAACACCCGGTATTTACTTTTAGTTTACATTACTCATTATAATGATACCTATAAACAGAATAATTTATTTTGTTTTGTAGGTAGGGGATAAGTGTAAAGATCCCTTAGACTGCCTGAAGAAAATCTACCGCAACGAAGGCGTTAAAGGCTTATTTAGAGGACTCAACCTAACAATTTTAAGAGAAGTTCCAGCATTTGCAACTTACTTCGTTTCATACGAAATGCTGACAAGAAGAGACGATAATTTGCCCATCTCTACATTGACCATGTTAACTGCTGGCGGATTGGCCGGTAAGATAAATTAGTTGTGATAAATATAAACAAACATGGAAAAGTTTATTGTTAGTAACAATTGTAATCTACAGGTCAATGGAAAATTAATACTAAAATACAGTTATTGTTTAAAGAAAACAATTTAAGAAACACAACAAAATATTTAGTTATTCATTGCGGGAGGTCTTTGAGTTTTCTTCTTATCAATGAATGGGAGATCGTTGACCCAGTAATTTGGAAAATCGTGATTAAAATTATTAAATAATGTTAATTCAATAACCTCTTCGAGCTTTTATTTTTGGAACTAAATTTATAAAGTAAATATTTATTTTACAATTAAAACAAACAATTCAAATTTACTTTATGTTGTTTATCTAGTTTAAAAGATCATTCTTTATATCGAGCATGAAATAAATCAATGATTTATTGAAATAGCGAAACACTATAGAAACACTGTATAACTCATAAAGATCTAAAGAAAGATATGTTTTTAAAGAATACCAAGTGTAAATATTCATAGAAAAATTACAAAATAGGATAATTAAATAAGTAGAAAAAGTGTTATGATGTATCTTAAGGTGTCATTACACGGCGTGTGGCTTGCCGATCCACGCGCCTGGCGCGCGAATCGCCGAGCCAGGACGCGCCAATGCGTTTTTTCGCACTTGCGATCAGGGTTCGGAAAACTACATGTTACTTTTAAAAACTACATAAACTACATTACATGTAGTTAATGTAGTTTATGTAGAGGGTGTAGTTTATGTAACCTATGTATGTAACTTTCAAATGTCAAAGGTTTGAGATGAGGCTATAATAAGTTGAAGCTTTAAAAACACATAATGTATTTAAGAAAACAGAAGAAATATGGCTTTAAATATAATATTTACATCATATTATCTCTATTACACCTCATACAAAGGAAAATTATTCATAATATCAATACGTAGTTTTCATGTAGTTAATGAACGGGAATAGACGTAGTTTTTGAAGAAAAACTACACGTAGTTAATCAGGTAAATTACGTCTTAATTAACTACTTCCGAACCCTGCTTGCGATCTCACGGCCGACCGAGAGACAGAAACAAAAAATACATTATATAACTTTTTAACATAGACTATCGGTTTAAATTGGGTTTAAATTCATACAATGAAATAATTTATTCCGCAACTTCAGTGCAGTTTATTAAGATAACAAGATGGAAAGCAAAATCATCATCTGGTTAAATTAAATAAGATAATAATACTTTTTTTAACTATGGTTATTTATGTTCAAAAGTTAAATAATATTTTTTTGCCTTGTTTATGAAAATATAATTTTAGAGTATATCATATTTTCAGAAAGCCCATAACAAGGTAAATAATATAAACAAATAATATACTGGGTGTCTCATTTAAAAAACAGAAGTCAGATTTCGAAAATGAGAACCATCAGCGAAACTAGTTAACATCACTGGATTCTACGTAAAAAACTAAACGAGACTGACTTTTCACCTATTCGATAAGTTATAAGATAACCGATATACGATGAAATCGAAAAATGCAACATTTTAAAATTCGTTCTGTATTTTAGGAACTAAAAAGACTAGAACAACTGTTCTTCTTTTTTAATTCTTTGATTAATTAATTTTTTAATTTGTTCATGGTGCAATTGATACTCAACTTTTGATGTAATCTCGGGCAGCCGTTCTGTATTTCATTTCTATTTTTATGTGCATTATTTCTGGGGTTCCAAGTTATTTGTTCTTTTTCATATAGGGGTAAAAACTCAGATATAGTCTCGTTCGACCAAGACATGTTGTCTCGAAATATGTAAAATATCAATTATTCTTATAAATATATATTATTCTATAAATCAGTTCATTTGTGATTGAACTAATCGCACTGAGGGGTAAATTGGTACCTATAATATATTGTTATAATCATCGGCAATTACCACCGCTCAAATTACCGCCAATAAATTAGTATAGCTATACAAATTTTAAATAGCATAATTGCACAAAACTTTATGAATTACTATTTCTATAGCTGCTGTAAAATTTAGAAGTATAAATGAAGTATTAAATACAATTATTACACATACATAAATCACCTCAGCAAAATGTAAATGTATATAGTGCTTCTCACCCGGGTATTTGTATGTAACTTATATTATTATACTTAGAACTAATAAACTATATCTATCTATACGAGTATATCCTTTATACAGCATTTAGTTAATAATTTTAAACAATAACATGGTAGATTATATTGGTATACCCTGTATTTATCAGTAATTTTTATACCTAATTAATATGCTTCCGCGTCGTATGAGAGGCGCCACCCTGTATATATGAACTTATTTGCGAATTTAAATCACTTGCCAATGCAATACAATATTTTACAAAGTCTCAATTTTATTACAGGTGTCATTTCGTGGGCATTAGTTTATCCAGTCGACGTCCTCAAATCCAGGTACCAAATTGACGGTATCAAGAGCACGAAATACACAAGTTCCTACAATTGTCTAGTACAAAGCATCAAAGGAGAAGGCATCGGATGCCTGTTCGCAGGATTAACTCCAACGTTAATAAGGGCATTTCCGGTGAACGCAGTGACGTTCACAGTCGTAACCTGGACAATGAAGTTACTAAACGACGTCAACTTGCTGGACAAAATCAAAGACACCGAATACTCTGTCGGAAAATACACCGACGCCATGTTCTACAACGCTGAACACGCCGCCTGTATGACATTATGACGTATGTTTTAGCATAAGCATGCTTATTGACAGTACAAATCAGCTGTGTATGCTTATTGAGATGATATTTAGTTGGTTTCAGGAGTTTTTTAGAACACATCACCAATTTTTCTGCATTTTTCTCTCATTTCTCTGTTTGTACAAATATGTATATACAAAATCTAATAGATTTAAAACGAATGCTTTAACGTTTCAAACCTAATATACATAAACCCTTCATATCAAGCTTTGAAAAGTGTCCTAAGATATCATGTGTATTTATTTTTCTTAATATAGTTGTTTTATAAATTAATTTTGTTTTATTGCTCACACACCTCCACATTATTTTTTTTTTACTTTATTCAACAGAAAATGACACACTGAATATAATGACATATCATATATCAACTTTTGACATTTTCGCTTGACATTTTTGCTAGGGTGCCATGGCTGTGTTAAAAACACTAATTAGCCGACCATACCAACAGGTATGGTAGGCTATTAAAATCGGCAAAAAAAAGTTTTTTTTAATTTCACTAAAAATGAGTTATTTGTATCATAAATGACCTAAATACAAAATATTTTCATGGTGTCTGTCTGTCTGTCTGTAACACGATAACTCAAAAACCGCTAAACCGATTTTAACCATGATACAAAGAATACAAGGTATGATATTGCGCAGGTTGGTCACTACGTCACAGGTGATAAACGGCACCATTAGTCGGCAAGTTTCGCGCGTCAATTTCAAATTGTCAAACAGATGACACAATTAGCTTTTTCGTTTTCCTGTCATTACCGATTCTGAACCGTCCTAGAACTCTGCAGCGCATGCGCAAATGAAATAATGTCTTCATATTTCCTTCTGCGCATACGCATCACAGATCTAGGACGGTTCAGAATCGGTAATAACAGGAAAACGAAAAAAGCTAAAGCCGGAGTCTCATGCATCCGAAATCCGATGGTACGACATCCGAAATTTGAAGTTATCGTGTGAAATAAAAAAAACCTGTCACATATATCCGAAAGTTCGTTCCGAAATTTGACAGTTTTGACATTTTTCTGCTGCATTGAATAGAGATTCATGTCATGTTTTATTGGAGAAACACTTATAAAAATAACTTCCTCGCCAAATATCCCGAAATTGCCCACTTCCCATTAAACTTGTTTTTAAAAACCAATGTTTTCAAAAAAAGTGAGGTTAAAAAACACACGATATCGTACAAAAGTTAAACAATATTTAACTTTATACGACGTCGGAAGATTAGTTAAAAATATCGGATAAAAATTGGTGTCAAAATATTTCAACCAATAGGAGCACCGTCGGATCGTCGTGTCATCGGATTTCGGATGCATGAGACTCCGGCTTAATAAATGTGAAAATAATTTTTCAAAAGTCAAGCTCGATGATTTGACTATGTTTGACATAACTTTTGGGGTTATGTCCTAATTCTTCCCTATTTTATGTCTTTGAATAAGAAGACTAAGGAAGGAGCATATCAAAAATCTTAGGTACACCGCGATGGGCCTCAAATATGGCCGACTTAAATTCCGGTTTATCAGTGTCGTTCTAATTTTATTTAAAAAATGTAAAACTATGATGTAGACTCAATAATTTGTTGTTTTATTTTACGTTGTGAATAAATGTTGGTAGTTATTAAAATTGTTATAAAAATATATAATTCTAATAAAAATAGATAAGTTATAATAAGTATTTATTAACACAAACATCCGATACGCTACTGAAGCAGGTAAGTCAAATTAACGTTTCTAAATTCTTTGACATCTAATCTTTGACAAGTAATAAATAAAAGCTAAAATGCAAGAAAAATATATAATTTAGTTAATTTAAGTGAATTTCATAAATGATCGGTTTACTACACGTATGTATATTATATAGTCACTTACTAGCGAAAAGTTGTTCCATTATTTCACTCAATTTTTGCCGAGATCTACCACACGCTACACAACCAACTATTTTAGAGTCTTTTTCGATAAATCGCGATAGTGTCACTGTTAATTTAAGTTCTGCCACAATTTCCATCTAGATTTACTACCTTTATACAACTATCAGTAGTAGAATAAATAATAAATAACATAAAATAAGCTCCGTAAAGACTGACAAATCCACAAAATTTCAAATCAAATTCAAATGTGTCAAATGAATCGTCAAACAGAACTGTCAAGGATCCCCACCCTAGAGAGCTTTTATGGTGGCTTTTCCGCCCACCATGCATGAATACATGGATATGAGACATAGATCCTTAGTCTTCTTATTCAAAGTTTTATGTCTTTTTTTATTAGTGGTAATTGCACAATATGGATATTTTTGTGGATGGCGTATGACGTCACAGGTGGTATGCGCAAACTTAACGAGATTGGAACCGCTATCGATCATACCTTGTTTTCTTTATACCCTGGATTTTAACAAAATTTGGCACAAAAATACTGTGGCACCCGTGAATCTGGCCATTAGTTTTTAGTGGGGGTGGGGGGTTGGTAAAGGGGTATGGGAGAGGGTTAAAAATTTTAAAATATCGTAACTCCAAAATTACAGTAGCTAGTGAAACGCGGTTTTCAATTTAAGATTAGGAATAATATTTGCAACAAAATTTGTAATATCATCAAAATCAGTCAAAGTCGCAGCTTTTGAGATGTTCCGTGTTTCCGTAGTCCGTTTTTGAGAAAATCCGTGTGGAGAACTCCAAACTCCCATCGGACGCGACCCCAGGTGGCGGATAGGGGAAATAACCGCGGACCAAAATTGGAGAAATTCCTTTACTTTGAAACTAAAATAAGTGCCTACCAACTTTTTATTAACATATTTTAGTATGGGCGGCTATACGTGCCTCCCGGTGCCAATTTTTTTTTAATCAAGAAGAAGAAATAATATATTTGATCGCCTAATGTTTTTAATATCTTATCCTGGCTGGTTAAAAAATGTCCAAATCGTATTTTTAATGGTATCTCAATTTTTTCAAATGGAAAAAGGATGGGTCACTAGCGTATTTGAAAAAATATTTTTTTACGAATAATTTGTTACCACACACTTGGTATTTCGAATCATATTGTCGTTATGAATCTCATGTTTCATTTCACCTAATAAACCATATTCGAAAATGTAAAAAGTTGACATATGAAATGTCATTCTATTCAAAGTGTCATTTACCATTGAATAAAGTAACAAAATACCGAGAGTGCCATTTAAAAATCAAAAGTTGTAGTAATTTCCGGTGAAACAGGAAGTGACGGAAAGCAATTGAATACGTCAATCAATTCTAATTTCTGTCATATTCTAACATACCAAATCTCGATTTTTATCTGAAAAAATAAAAAGTTATAAGGGTGAGCCACTTTTGACGCGGTATATTAGGTTATTGGTTTCAAACACAGGCTTCAAAAAGAAACCATCTAGCATTGTATGTATATCACAAATATTGTAAAACTATTGCATCTTCTCCGAATTTGTTTGCGATTATAGACTTGATAATTATTGTGTCCACAAACGAAGTAATTTTGATTTTGGTTTAGTTTTTATGACATTTTCTTGACTGTTGTAGACACTGCAGACACGATACTATGCTCTGTAGGTAGTGTATCCTATGTCCCTCCAGGGGTATGCTGTATCCTGTATGTCCAGTATTACACCATTTTTAATCGCAGATTTTCAGCAAAAGCCGTTTATGTAAAGCAATTTCCGATAGTTTTATTTATTTGGTTATCCACCATCTTTTCCACTGTTTTCAAAGACAATTGGTGAGAATGGTTGGTCTGGAGACAGTCCAGTTCATATAGACACTAAGTTGTGGCTTAAGGAACATAAAATATCATCAACGATTTCTCCATTATTATTTGTTTTTAGTACCAGTGGCGGGTACAGAGGGGGCCTACAGAACCCAAGGTCCCAACTAAAATTTATAAATTGGGTTAAATATAAGGTTGTAGAAGCAGCACATAGTAGAACCGCAATGGAGAAGAAAGAATATAAACTCAGTTGACAGCGACAATCACAAAGTTAAGAGGCAACACAGCAGTAATCGTAATCACGTATAAAAGCATCACGTATCGCGCTTTTCTGTAACTGAAAAAAGCCCATGAAAGAAAACGCCTTCAAACGTATCTAATAACTACAGTTGTAGTAGGAGATTGCTGTTTTGTAGATAGTGGATTTAACTACAGTTCCTAGTATATTTATTGATCCATATGGTACTCTTGAGATATGCAAATTCTTTTAAAAGGCATTAAATATTTTTAATTATCATATACAAACCATCTTTGTAACATACGGTTTCAGACCTCTAGTTGTCAAAAACAAATCTGTCAAAACAATATAAATACCCGCTTTTGTTAATGTCACTTTGATTAGTCTATTTTTTAAACAGTTTGTGCAAAATTATTTTTTTTGTTAGTGTTTGTGAAAAATTTCCAGTGATCGGTATCAAGAAACAATTCCATATCATCGTTTTAAGAACTAACAATGACCAAATTGATGATGGTTCCTCGGTACAGGAATCAGCTGGCTAGTTGTGTCGAATCAAAAAAATCATATAGAAGAAAGTTTCATTAAAATTCTTACACATAATTTTATGGACAATTATATTACGCTCTCATATAGGCTTTTATGGAACGGAATTCGGAATCGTTTTCGATTGCATTACCTGAACCGATCGACCACCAACCGAAACAGTAGTGTCACGTCGCGATCAGTCATTTTTTGGCATTTCACCCCATTTTTTCGAAATTCACCCACGATCTGGACTAAATTACTAGTGATTGATTCTTTTGGGTGGTTGTGTACGGTGCACGCTGGCTCGGAACAATGAAATGGGCGAGGCGAATTCGGGCGTGGAAAAGCCCATGGAAATAAGCGTGGGCCGGTCCATGAGCATGCAGGCGATGCAGGCGCTGTTCGAACTCAAGGAGAACAGTCAGTTATGTGACGCAACGCTCGTTTTGGATGATGGATCCGAGGTGTTTGTCCACAGAGCGATTTTGTGCGCCTGCAGCGCTTATTTTAGGTAAATCAGACGAGAATTCTAATTAGCTAGAATTGAGTTTTAATATTAAGTATTGAGGCAAAGTGACTGATTATGAAAGGAGTACAAATAATGTTGAGAGCCTCCTAGTATCTAAGCCATTCTTCAAGTTATCGAATAACATAAAACTGGCTTGTAGATGATCTTTACATAGTCTTAGCACAGTAGATTTTTGCAGTAAATCTCAATCCATACAGGGTGAGTCTTGAATAAGTGTAAATAGTTTCAGGGCTGGAAATCTCGATAAAAGAATATATTTTCTCTTTATTTGAAATAAGTCCAAAATAGCCGAGTTATTTTACTTAAAAAAATTTCCAAAAAAAAAATATTTTTTGCTAAAATTTTGAGAACCACTGGATTTTTTAGATTTTCTTTCTTGTAAAATCAAATGGAACGAGAGTGGCTGATTAGCATATCTGGAAAAAGCATTTTTTACGAATAATTTGGTACCAAACCAAACCAAACACACTTGGTATTGCGAGTCAAATTGTCGTTATGAATCATATGTTACAATTTCAAATAAACAATATGAGAAAATGTCCAAAAGTTGACATATATGTCATTCTATTCAGAGTGTCATTTTCTATAGAATAAAGTAGAAATATGCCGAGGGTACCATTTAAAAAACAAAAGTTCCAGTGAAACAGGAAGTGAACAAAAACAATTGAATACGTCAATCAATCCTAATTTATGTCATATACTAACATACCAAATCTCGTCTTTTTATCAGAAAAAATAAAAACGTTATAGGAGTGAGCCACTTTTGAGACGCACCAATTGCCAAGAAATTATGTTTTTTAACTAAAAACTAAAAAAAAATTTTGTTCATGTAAAGAACCTCATAATCGTGTTTCTGGGGTCGAAATATTCTACCCTTGAAAATATTTGCACGTATTTAAGACTCACTCTGTATGTTGGAGACACTGTATACATGGTGTTTCAAAAAACATGTGCCAAAAATGATGTTCAAAAATGTCATCTCTTGTGAGAAGATTCCTCATGTAAACATTTTTGTAGATCAACATAGGTCCGATTCTTATTTTTTCATAGCTACAGGGGGTTAAATTCTTTATTTTTTTAAATTTATTATTTTTTTCTAAGTACTTTTAGTGATTTGAAAGATACTGGTCTTTGTACATTATCATACACGTACCGTTGCCGACACGTAGCATTTTCGTTAAAGCCCAAACTTGTTTCCGTTAAAGCAGTTATGTATTCATATATTCATACACGAAACGTTTCAGTTTGCTTAAGTAATGTGCTGCTGTACTATTTCACTTCTACTGGATGTAAAAGAAATAAAAGACAAAATTCAGTAAGAAGATTTGCAATATATCCAATGTTGTGTTGTACATTGCAATGAAATTTGCAATATATCCAACGAATTAATTCTGACAGAATCAGCTCTTACCGGCAAGCGACAAAATATTGTTTCCGAATATACTGAACGGAAATGTTTTGTGGTATGATAGGATACGTGCCGGACATTGTGCACTAGTTCCTATTAAAACCACTAAATAATATTCTTCGGAATCAAAACGTTACGTTCCTGAAACGACACGTTTATGATAATGTGCACAGGCCTTAAAAGAATTAAAAGTTACGTTAAGTGATAATACACATTTTAATACTAAAAAAGTGTAGACAGATTTACCAGGGACGTGCATATGTGTTACCACTGGAATATTTTCCTAAAAAATACATGTGGCGCTACTAACTTTTTCTCTTGATAGCCAGATTGTGTAGGTCGTTTAATGGCGTTTAAAAGTTGTATCTTGATATTTTGTCCATCTCGATCGCCTTGATGAGATAAACGCTATTTATTAATTAATTGGAATTAATAAAATTAAAATAATTAAAATAAAAAAAAAATAATGGTATTTAAAATAATTTACAAAAGACTTATTTTTTAGCATCCTGTAACTTTAAAACTATGCATTTCCGTACCCATGTATATAGGAACTTTTTTTATATTTTTTGATGAGGAATCAATGGGTACTTATTTAATACTTTAGACAGTTAATGACATTAAGTTTTTTTAAAGGTTGCTATTAGACTGGATTAAGGCAAATTAATGAAATTTCTCTCATCACAAGTTTACACAATTTTCAGTGGCGCACATTCTTTTTCATTAGAAAAGTACTTTAATGATAACCGATATGCACGTCCCTGGTGAAACTGTCGACACATTTTACCATTAAAATATATCGCACTGATAGTAACTTTCAAAATTTAATTCGAATCATCAAAAGCACTTGGAAGAAAATTATAATAAATCGAAAAAAAAAAATTAAGACCAACCCTCTGTAGCTACGAAACAGAACAAAAATAAATCTTATTTTTACGGGAGGAATCTCCCCACGAGAAATGGCACATGCCATTTCTTTCCCTAAGTTTGGGGTTCGTTGAAGGACTATTAGAGCTACAATTTAAAAATATTTTTTACAAGATACAGAGTGTCACAAATAAATAAAAAATATCAAAGTTGTATTTTTTTAAATGAAACACCCTGTATATTATTACATTTTTAGTTTCTACGATTAAAATAAAGGTAAATTTGATTAAGGTTTATTATACATAAACCTTACCGTTTTTGAAATATTTTCAATTTTGTGAAATTGCAGTAAAAATTTTAAAGCTTCATTTCTCTAAGGGTATCAATGTTTTTAATACGAAATATTTAATGAAGTTTATTTATTGATCAGTTATTGTGTTGCAATAATAAAAATAATACTACCTTATACAGAGTGTCTAAAAATTTATTTTAAATAATTATTAGTTTCAAACGGCAATAACTTCTTTAATTTAAATAGAATGCCCTGTATATTTTAGGAGAATCAGATGCACAATTAAATTGTCTATCAAATTGTATTATACCATTTTTTACCTATCCCTTCAAGTTTTCGGAGAAAATGCATTTTCTTATAATTTAGACCTCATTTATCAATATATCCATGGAATATTGACATTTTAGATTGTTTTTAAAGCAACAAATGTACAAAATGTACAGACTAGTAATATTATCGTTTTTAGCGATACGATAATATTACTAGCCCATTTGTATGCAAAAAGAAAACTATTTAAATCTTTATAAAAGAGTATACCATTAATTAAATATAACACCATTATTTCCGCCCATATACTAATTAATGACATACTTAATTGTGTTCGTTAATAAATTATTATAAATAAATGTGGATTTTTGAGTCAGAAATCAATATAATAAGTTATCAAATTAAAGTCTTTGTTGTTATAAGCATTTATTAAAAAATTAAATATCATTTTTAAGGTGTTACTTTTTATCACACTATCTAATGCCCATACAAAATTCAGTTTTTTAGTATTTGGAGCAATTATTATTAATCAACGCAAACAGTCAGTTAATGTAGTTTGAATACTGGAATCATATTAATTGGTCCTCTTTAACAAATATTTAAACAGTTTTTTTTTAATTTTTTAATGAAATAAACGAATTATATCGACAATATTAGTATATGTACTCTTTAAAAATTTGGTACATCTTTAAAAATAATCTAAAATGTCAATATTCCATGGGTATATTGATAAATAAGTTCTAAATTACAAGAAAATGCATTTTCTACGGAAACTTAAAGAGATAGGTAAAAAATGGTATAATATAATTTGATAGACAATTAAATTGTGCATCTGATTCTCGTAAAATATACAGGGTGTCCCTTTAAATTAAACAAGTTATTGCCGTTTGAAGCTAATAATTGTTTAAAATAAATTTTTAGACACTCTGTATAAGGTAGTATTATTTTTATTATTGCAACACAATAACTGACCAGTAAATAAACTTCAGTAAATATTTAGTATTAAAAACTTTGATACCCTTGGAGAAATGAAGCCTTAAAATTTTTACTGCAATTTCACAAAATTGAAAATATTTCAAAAACGGTAAGGTTTAAGTTAATAAATCTTAATCAAATTTACCTTTATTTTAATCGTAGAAACAAAAATGTAATAATATACAGGGTGTTCCATTTAAAAAAATACAACTTTGATATTTTTTACTTATTTGGGACACTCTGTATCTTGTAAAATTATTTTTAAATTGTACCTCTAATAGTCCTTCATCGAACCCAAAACTTACAATTTGTAAAAATCCCATCGTTTAGCTACAATACTCCGTGTCGTATGTGGTGAACAACCCTGAATAGTGTTCCGTTACAAATATCACAACATTAACATGCAATTTTTATTGGGGACACCCAGTAGAACTCAATTTATTTTAAAAAAATGTTCCAAATTAGCCTACATTTACTTACAAAATGTCATTTCAATACAAACTGTTCTCCTTGGAGCATCCGCGTCATATAAGAGACGCCATCCTATATAACCAAAAAATTTATAATTATACAATATGATCGACAAAAAACGGCGTCAGCGATGCCTACGAAATGAAAATCGCTGTCATTTTATCTGTAAAATTATATGGAGGATATCATGCTCGTCATTTCTAAGCCAACTGGACGCCGTTCTTTCCATGCTGTATTTTTAATAAAAAAAAATTAAACAAATTATATTGCCATTTCTCATTATAACTATTTAGATTATAATGATCAAAAACGTTAAACCAATACGCGTCCATTATAAATATTTTTGATCACAACATATTTTTTTAAATAAAATTGTCTTACCTGCTAAACGGTAAAGGTTGCATCAGTAAAATACCACCCACAACTCGAGGATGGTGTGCCGCTAAATTTACTACTGCTCGTAACGCAGATGTCTTAGTTCTTAGCCTGTAAGTTGAGAGAGCCTGTTTACATTCAAAACAACAATTCTTTGCTATTTTCAGAAAAATATTACATAATATTATAAAAATTAGCTGTTTAGTAGTTTTTTAGTAGTTTGGAATACTCTCAATCTACATATACAGAGAAGACCAGGCTACTAGTAACATAGCAAGTTGCCGGATGAATTTACGTTTACCCGATTTGCGTTCGTACTAGAGATTCACAGCCGGCTAGTCGGCTGGTCAGGCAGTACGCAGCTGCAGTTGTGATTGGACGGGTCGGTCGTGACAGACTAGGAATACGACGCGAGGAGTGCCGAGTATTTATTATTTTCATTTTAAGTGGTTACCTTCACTTAAGGTAACATTTAAAATAAAAATACTTAAATATTTATTATTTGAGTGTGTTTACAAGCCAAAAATAAATAAATTCTCTAAACCCGAAAAAAACTAAAATATTACTCTAAATAAAAAAAGTTATAACAAATGTTCAAAAAGACCACCTTCTTGTGCTAGACAGAAGCCTAGGCGGTCGTAAAATCCCCGTCTGACATTGTCTAACATATTAGGGCTAATAGTTTGGAAAGCCTCTCATATTTTTACTTGAAACTCATCCAGATTATTAGCCCTATTATGACCATACACTTTAGATTTTACATAACCCTACAAAAAGAAATCATTGGGAGAAAGATCTAGTGATCTAGCGGGCCACAAAATAGTTCCATGCTCACTAATTAAACGGTTGGGAAAAGTATTGTTCAAATATTCTTGAACAATACGGGTATTGTGGGCAGGGCAGCCATCTTGTTGAAACCAGACATTGTGGAATCTTTCTCCCAATAACTCACGAATTCTAGCGACAATCTGTTGCTGTAACAAGTCCAAATACTTTGCAACAGTTAAATTACCCTTTATAAAAAATGGACCAATCATATGCTCCCCTACAAAACCACCCCAAACACTTGCTTTAACTTCTGTTCTTCATTAATCAACACATCAGGCATTTTGTGTTTTTGTGCGGACACGCACCCATGTGTTTCAAAATTATTAATAACTCTTGATATAGTAGGTAAAGATGGCATTGGCCTGTTTACAAAAGTTTGTGGAAAAATTGTTTGTATATCCCGATAAGACCTATTTTGGAAATACCATTTTACAATTTACAATTTGAATTTTCTCACGAACTTCGTAAACATCCATTATTTTACTTAAAAAATAAATTTTACACGAGAGCTGTAGCGAGAATCTATGTATTCGTTTTGGCTATTAAAACACGAATAAATAAAAATTCTGTAACATTTTTATCACATATCTACCTATTTTTATTTTATCGCATTTTTTCGCCTGCTTTTTATCCGGCGGACGGGTATACGCTAATTCGTCCGGTTCTGCCTATGTTACTACTACGGTGGTCCGGTCTGTATATGACACTCACTACACAACTGTATATTTTTTAAATCAATTTGTTATTATCAGAAATATATCACGTAATATTTTGGAAATTAGCACGGTTAATAAAAATATACAGGGTGTCTCATTTAAACAAACGTAATTTTGAGTAATTTGAAATTATTACAAATTACAATTCATATCACAAATTGGATTACGCCACTGTATTATGTGTAAGAAAACTATTAAAAAAACTGTTAGTAGCTTTATATAAGTTGAACGATAATAGAAATACGAGTATCAAAATTCAATTAGTTTCATTTACGATCAGGCAGATGAAGCAACCAAATCAAATAAATGTTTATACACATGAAATTGTTCTATGATTATACAATATTTTACTAATAATATTCTCTTTAACTTAATCATACATTTTGTTATATGCTTTAGGGCTCTGTTCACCACAATTTTACACACAAAAGAAAAGAACAGAATCCAACTGCCCGGTATAACCAAGGAAATGCTACAAACCCTACTCGTATACGCCTATCTGAGAAAACTAGACTTAAACGATGAAAACGTTTATTCCGTGTTGATAGCTGCAGATTACCTGAGCATTTTGGGAGCTTTAGATCTGTGCTGTAAATATCTAGAATCCACGTTGAAACCGACGAATTGTATCAGTATATTGGCCTTTGCTAGAAGTCACTTCTGTCAAAATTTGGCAGAAAGTTGCTGGAAGTATATTGTAAGAAACTTTCCACTTATAGCAGTGCAAAGTAGGGAAATCCTGAATTTGTCTTTGAAAGAACTAGAAGAAATAATTAATTCGGATGATTTAAATGTAAAAAGTGAAGAAGTAGTTTGGGAAGTGATATTAAAGTAAGAATAACCCTGTTTCAAATAAAAAGAAGTTTTGTTCAAAATTGATTATTTTTAGATGGATAGATTACTCTACCGAAGAAAGAAAAGGTCACATTGTGGAGTTAATGAAGTGTATACGTTTGGGTTTGTTGGATACACAGTTTTTCTTGGAAAGAGTGAAAGATCATCCTTATGTAGCTAGTTGTGAAGCGAGCAGACCTATGATTATAGAAACGTTAAAGTTTCTCTATGATTTAGAGATGATCACGCATAGGTATCTCATATTATTTTTTATTATATTGTACTAATTTTAACTTGAATTTTCTTAAAAAAATCTATTCTTTTTATGACGTTTAAAACGACTCGTTTTTTCATTTATTTATATTGTTTCGCCCCTAAACAATTTTAAGGCAATAATTGAGCATGTTAATGCAGAAGTGTCAACAAATTAAGGACTTTGTTGCTTTTATAAAAAGTAGCAAAAAGGGCATAAAAATTAAGGTTAAAAAACATGTTTTTTTATCTTTAAACAAAACACCTGGTTTTACTGGTTTAAAATTTTATTTTGTTAAGTCGAGTCAGGATTATGTTAAAATATTGTTTAAAACATTTATTTTAAACTTAGTTTTAAACTAACTATTACCGTATGATCGAAAAAAAAATGGTATCCAGTTGGCTGGGAAATGACGATCGATGACATTTCCCATACAAATTTACGTATAAAATGACAGCGATCTTCACTTCATAGCCACCGTTTTTTTCCATCATACGGTATACCTAAACAGCATTGAAAACTAAGGAATATGATGAGGCGACAAAACGTTTTATTTTAGTAATTTTTTTCTAGACAATATTAGATAGTTTATAATTCCTTTTCTATTAGAGTTTTTTGTTACTTACAACACTGAAGAGTACTTGACACGCATCAGAAGATAGTTACGCAGAGCGTTTTCTTTCATGAACTTTTCTGTGACCGAAAAGCCCGAAACGTAATGTTATTTCCCTTCCGCACTCCGGACATTCAAAAATCTCATTACTTTGGTGCTTCTTTACTTTTTGGTTTGTCGTTGTTAACTGAATTTACAATTGAATTGGATAAATAAATGAGAAAAATACAGTAGAACTGAAACTAATAAATTTTTAAAATATCTTTTAAAATACGTATAATATACATAAACAATAGACGCTTTCGCTTGGCACTTGTAACTTTTGTTAGGATATGCAGCATAGTATTTATTACGTTTCTAACTTAATAACAAGACCATACCAACATAATACTGAAAAATTTAGCACTTACCCCTTTTGGTATTTCCACTCTTCAATTCTTCTCCATTGCGTTCTGCTGCTTATGAAAAATATCCTTGTACCTTTTGAGTTATTCACCCGGTTTCCTTTTACCCTGTACAAGCTCATCGTAAAGAAGAGATTTCGGTAGACAATTTTCTTGCATCCTGCATACGTGATCAGCCCACCTTAAGCGGGATTTAGTCAGGGGCGGCTTGTCCTATGAGGCAGATGAGGCAGTGCCTCACCAATACATTTGAAAAATTACACGTATTAATCGATACATCTTTAATCACAATTTTATATTTTTCCCTGTTTGCATCAATAATAATTGTATTTTTTAACCGTCATTCTATAATAAATTACGTCGATGGCATTCCTTTAAACGCGCTTACTATCCCATATGCGACAAAGAAGTATATGTGCAGAGGTTTGCCTCTCACCTTTCCTTGTCTAGCGTATTGTGGTATATCGCACCGACGCACATACGGCAAAATAGGTACTTTACAGCGACAAAACCATATTTTTTTATTCAAACTAAGCACAAAAAAACACAGCTAGTAGAATTCTATAAGTAACTCCCCATTTAAATCCGTTTATATTTTTTTCGAATGATAATTTATAAAAGCGCAGGCGGCTTTGCAAGCAGACATGCCTCGCGCGACTATCACGCTAACCTGGTTACGTCAGAATATGTCACAGTTACAGTTAGTATTTGTATCGATTTCAAAGTATTTTAAGTAGTTTTTCTAGATGGATCCTATAGCTACAGGTATGTACTACTAAGTTATTTTATGTAATCAATTATTTTTTGATTGGTAGACTAGGTTTCAAAGCAAATTTCAAATGAATTTATTTTCTGAAAATTTTTGGAAAACGTCATTTTAAGTTAGAATTACAACAAAGTTCCGCTTAGTACCACATTTTTTTGTAGTTTATGTTGTTGCTCTGTCTTTGTATAATAAATAAACTAAAATCTAGCTATCCCAAATCATCCTTTTTTAACATATCTGCATTTGTTTGCAGGTAGTGGGAGTGCGCCTAATTTTAAGAAAATTGGTGTCAGCAGGAATGAACTTTTTGCAATCTTAAAGAGTGTTAATTTTTATAAACAATCATCATCGCAGTGCAATGAACATTTAGTTAGTTATATTAAGGACAAACTGAGTATAGATAAACTTTCCAAAATATCAGAAAATCGGTTAAAAGAAGTGGTAAAAGTGTTTGTGTCTAAACTTTTAACAAAATGGAAACAAAGCCATCACATTGAAGCAAGGTTTATGAAAAAAAATACTTATTGGATAGCAGGAGCGGTAAACTTCCCAAATTTACAATATACTGTCTCTACGCCAACGACATCGACACAGGGACGACCGAAAAAGTTATTCAGTCAAAAATGCAAGAGATCGCAGCAGAGGGAAATCAGGCCTATTGTTTCGGAATTGTGTTCTGAAAAACTTGCGTATGCAGTTGAATCCAGTTTAGTTAAAAGTGGTAAAAGAACTGCTGCAAAAGTAGTAAATCTTGCTTTATCATCAACACCAAAAAGATTAAAAAAAATGAAACAAGTCCATGATTCATCTTCAACCTTTACTATGGACCTATATACCCCGGAAGAAGCACTCGGACTTATAGTAGACTTAGGATTAACTAAAGACGACTACATAACACTTCAAAGAGGGGCAAAAAGAAAGGGTGCTAATATATATCCTTCATACCCTGCTATTGCTGAAGTAAAAAAAAAATGTTACCCACCAGGTATGTTTATCACAGAGACAGAGGCGACAATTCCATTACAAAACCTGTTGGATTTAACTATTAGTCGGCTAGCACATATTCAATCAGAAGTATTGCTGCAGAATGTTCCAGATGAAGTCATAAACATAAATGTTTTTTATAAGTGGGGTCTTGATGGTAGCGGTGGCCACAGTATTTATAAGCAAAACTTTGCTAACCATTCAGAATATGGCGATGCCAACATTATATTGTGTACAATTGTACCTCTAGAAATATCGATTCAATCTAGATCTGGAAAACAAATTTTTTGGAAGAATCGGAGCCCATCTTCTACCAGATATTGCCGTGTCGTAAGCTTTAAACTAAAAAAAGAAACAAAAGAGACCATGAAAGAGGAGTACTTGGAGATTGAAAATCAAGCAAATAATTTACGGCCTACAAACATTTTCATAGGTAACAAAGAACTGGCATTTAAACATATTTTGGTCTGCACCATGATGGATGGAAAAACATGTAATGTGCTTACGGACACGGCCTCATCCCAAGCATGCAACGTATGCAAGGCCACACCCAAAGACATTAACAATATAGAAAAAATGGTAAATATAGCGTGTGACTCATCTACATATAAATTTGGAATATCTGTGTTGCATGCATACCTTAGATGCTACGAGTACCTACTTCATATTTCTTATAAAATGGACAACAAAGAATGGCAGGCAAGAAGCCAAGAGGCAAAAGAAAGTGTTAAGAATAGAAAGAAAGCAATTACTTCTCAATTTTACTCAGAAATGGGATTGGTTGTAGACCATCCAAAACAGGGAGGAGGCAACAGTAATGATGGGAATACGGCCCGCAAATTTTTTGATAATCCAGTGTTAGTGTCGGAAATAACAGGTGTCGATAAAGATTTAATTTCCAGATTTGCAAACATTCTGAGTGCGATTTCAAGTGGGCACTATATTAATGAAAACAAATTTAAGATTTATTGTCTTGAAACCGCTCAAATGTGTATACAGCTTTATGGATGGTACAAAATGAGTGCTACAGTACATAAGCTGTTGCTCCATGGAAGTGATATTATTCGGTCTTTTCCTCTGCCTATTGGGCAATTATCCGAAGATGTTTTAGAGGCCAGTCATAAGAGTTACAAAAACTTAAGGTTATTTCATGCTAGAAAAACATCGAGAATTAACACCAATACGGACATCATAAACTGGCTACTTGTTTCATCCGATCCGGTAATTACTTCTTGTCGCAAAGATGTACAAAAAAAGAGGAAACCGTTTTCGGCGGTAGTCATCGGAATGTTAAAAGAACCCGAATTTTTAGGACAAATGTATGTGGAACAAGCTGACGACTCTGACTCTGACATCCAAGAGGAAGAAAACACATAATGCGAATAAATAAGGGATAAAAATTTATTTTACCCTTTTTCATTGTTTTCCTTCTTTGTAACAATTCCAATACACTGGCAAAAAATAATTTTAGGATTAAGTAAGACAATACGAATAAAAAAACTTTGAAAAATTTTACACTACTAAATTTTATTCTTAAATCTACTTTCAACCTGTCTTTTAAAATTCTTTTGACCAATTTACCAAGGTAGATATGCAAGTAAAAATTAAAGTTTCCATTCAGAATATTTCTTTTTTATAATAATAATTATATCTAGTTTATTACCGTAGGTATTGGTGGATTTGGAAATTTTGTTACACACTGTATATAAATTATAAGCCAAATTAGGTCTATATTAGAAATATATGGTTAGTTCTGTACTAAAATATGCTTTGCATGTAAATTCTAAGTTAAATACCAAATTAAATCCATGAAAATGTTTTTGTCGCTGTAAAGTACCTATTTTGCCGTATGTGCGACGGAGCGACAGCGTTCACTGGAATCTTTACTCTATAGAATGAAAAGAAAGAGCATAGGCAAAACCTTTAGTTGAAGAGAGATAAAATGTATGGAGTAGTAGCGCGTAAAAAGACCGTATTGAGGCGAGCCTCAAATGTAAATTTAAACCTTAAAAGCCGTTCGTTAAAAATATGTATCACTTCCCGATCAGCCCGAGAGATTTTAGGCGACAGGCTGAAAATGCAGAATTGCATTATTTGGGAATTTGGCTTAGTTTGAATCAATTCTGCCGGTTATTACATTGTTTTGTCTCTAATTGATTAATATCAATATCTACGTTTTTTAATGTGAATTGCATGTTTAATATATAAACTTTTCTTACTGATTATTGTACAT